ATATGCTAATTGTATCAAAGTACGCAATTCAGAGGCAAGTCAGACTTAGATAGAGGAAGTAATTGTTCCAATTTTTTCAACATTAAATGTGCAGAAACCTCTCTTTATAAATAAAAAAAACACACCTTTTTACTACCAAATACATTAAAAAAGATCCAAAGCCATAAACAGTTAATCTTTCACTCTGAGCTAAAAAAATGCTCAAATTAAAACAAAAAAATAAGGTTTACATCAAAAGGTTTTCATGATATTTGACAAAAACATTGACATTTTTAGGGTAAAACTAATTCTAAAGTTTTCTCTATGAATAAACTAATTTTAAGTCCATTAACCTCTTACAAGTCCTACTATACATAATGCTTTTTTAAGCCTTTAAAGATCAGCTTTTGGATGGTGTATTTCATTTGGTTCTATGAAGTATGCATTTTTTATAAAGTATTGATCTTCCAACCCAGAAGACCTCACCCTGTGTGGAGGCCACCATTNTTATAAAGTATTGATCTTCCAACCCAGAAGACCTCACCCTGTGTGGAGGCCACCATTTTCATGACCTTGCTGCATCACATTATTTCTGGCGATTAGACTCCTCCTAAACCACTCAACATTTTCCAAGACATGGAAGTTTGTTTTAAAAAAGGAACTCTTCAAGCTCCCCCCCCCCCCGTACACGTGGCATGTTTCAGCTTTGAGTGACAAGAAACTTTGTCAGGATATTCCAAATTGCAAGTTTACACAACACATTGTTAGTGTTTAGTTTAAGATCAACTATTTTAATTAGTTTACTCGTGTTTATGCAAACTGTACAACCTGATTACTTTTTGTTTTTGAGTGAGAATACATTTCAATCTAAGATTTATCAGCAACACTGACAAAGGTGCTAATGGCCTATAGACATTTTCCAATGTATTTTTACAACAAATTGCAAAAAACAGTTTAAAGTCAAGTTTGAAAAAAGTATCTTGGCGTGTGTTGTTCAATAAGGGAAGGGACCCCTGAGGGAACCCCCTCCTTTTGCAGACCCCTGACCAGTGGCAGAGCTAGCAGGCCACAAGATTATTTGGGTGGCATTATACTTAATGTTCTATCAAAATAATGCACTACTTCTCAAAAATAACTTACTGACTTTAATCAAAGTTACTTAAGTCTTAAGCACATCCGTTTATGTAAGTTATGTAAAAACAATCAGATGCCAAAATGCAGGCAAGATGACCTGTAACAGGCAACATCCATATATTGCAAGAGAGCTATATATTTAAACTGATGTAAGTATCAGACTATCTCTTATTTCGGGAAACAGTTTACTGCCTCAAGTTACAGAAAAAATCTCAATAAATAACTTTTGCTCGAATCAGGAATATTTACCCCTCTTTTGGTTAATTTTGACTTCTCAAGTCCATAAATCTACCCAGGAGGGTAGCTGTTTTTACCCCAAATTATGGGAAATATGTTTAAGTATAAGTTTAAAAACACTTATCCAACTAGTACATATTTTATAAGACAGGTCAGAATTGTTAAATATTCAGAATTTGGTTACTATTTGCTTATCACAATTTCCATTTCCACTTCTTCAATAGAGTTGATCAGCATTCCTTTCCCTCTCTTTGTTAGGGGGGAGTTTATCCCCTATTCAACAATAATACAGTCAGAATCATCATCAGAGTTATCTTGCTCCACACTCTCTGCCTTGCAGGCTTCGTCATTTGTCGATTCTTGCACAAGAGTTTCAAATATCACTCCTTTGGGAGCAGAAAGTCTTCTGAGCTTTCTCCAAAAAAGGCAGGGTTGTTGGTGCTGATATGTTGAGGACGTGAGCTCCTTTCCAGGCTTTCTTAACATGTACCGTCGCACTGAGTCTGGCATAACGATTTTACGGCATTCCCTGTGTGGCAGTAAGGCAGACCAAAATTCAGGTAAACATCCTTCCACAATCAGTTTAAGAGAGGAAGGTTTGAGTGCAGAGACAAAATCCTCTAGTTCCTCATAGGAGGAGTGGTCTGAATAGGGCACAATGTAGATGTTAGGGTTGTTGGAATGAATGGATCTACCAGTGGGTAAGATGGCCAATGTGGGTTGTTCTTCGTTCCACTCAAACAACTTCCTAGAAGAAATAGTGGGCCGGTCCAAAGCTCGGATACGGCCTGCCCCTCGCTCAGTGGTGAAGACGTCGAGAACCTTAAGAACCTTGAGAGTCTTCATTCTCGCATTACTCACTTCAACCCAGGTTTTAAATTCCACAGCCAGTTCCTCCAGCAGACACTCCTTACCCAACGAATACAGGCCTGTAAGACAAACAAATAAACAAGTCTGTTATTTTGATTAATGTAATGTGGCTTTATTAAGTCTCTATTTAAAAAAAGCAATTTATTTTATTTATCAGGGTTTCTGTCGGCATCAGAAAGTTTAAATTAAAATAGTTAGGATTAAAAAAACAGCACAATGTTTTTTTTTTCTCTATTTTGTTTTTTTGCACAGTAAGTAGCAGATAATCAATGAAGAATACTAACTTTATTTCTAATTTTAAAAACATAAAAAACTGAAATAAAATGTTATCTGCAGATGAAGCTTACTACTAAGATGTATGATTTCCTTTGTTCACCAAGTTGAAGACTAGATGTAAGATATCACTATTGTAAAATCGAGGCTACAAGTACTTCATAGTTCTGTGAAACTGATATAATGGATTAAGTAAAATGTGAATACAATCATAAAAGAGGCATAGAAAAAACAAATGCAGGGTTTATACAGGAATGAGTAACTCTAATTTAATGCTTTTTAATGCTCTTCTAATGCTCTTAGAAATAATTTTAATGCCATCAACAAGTACCCATGTCTCTCATATAAACATCTTTTGTCATCTTTACGATGGACCGGCTGCAGCCATGTTCCGAATTCCTTGTTTTCCAGTAACTTTTGTTGAAAATAGCATTTTCCAATTCTCTAGCTTTTTCTCCCCCTCAAGCTTTTTTTCCGAACATACGGCTTTACGATCAACCAGAGACAGTCCTGCGCAAATATATCGCAATATAATTATATCTGAGAAAAAATTTTTTTAATAAAGCATTTTGAATGCCACAATAATCAAATTGAATTAATTTTAATGCCAATTAAGGCCTTAATTTCAAAAATGATAAGTTGATGATTTTTAATGATTTTTAATGACCCGCAGAAACCCTGAAGTGTACAATTCAACCAAAGGTAAAGGTGAATTAAAGCACTGAATGAGAGATGTTGGTTAATTTAAGACTTTAAAGGTCAAATTTTTAATATTTTAAAGATCATACACTGATGTTTTTGGTGTATAATGAAACATTGTAAAAACTTTACAAGGATTTCAAGGCTTTTGGAAATTGTGTAATCAAAGTTAAGTTTGTTTTTTTTCTGGCTTAACAGTTTTCCAGGCCTTAATGTTGTTTTATAATCTATGCAAGCTTACCTATCACAATATTGTGGTCAGGGTGGCTACGGATGATCTCTTTGATTTGTTGTGTGGCTTCTTGTCTGGGTGGCAGAGTACGGCGTGTGTCACAGTGGGTGTTATCCAAATACAGAATATCAATTTTTGCGTTGGTCATTAAACATGGCTCCCGCAGCATTGAAGGAGAATACCTGAAATCACCTTAAGTAAGCAGATTAACTTAGACTTTGGACTTAGACTACTTTTATTGTCATTAAACAAAATTTTGTTTAGTATAGCTTTTCAGACAGTAAATGAACATTTCCATTACATAAAGTGCAGCAGTGATCAAATGTAAAGAGTGTGGGAGAAAAACGGTGCAAAAAAAAGAAACGCACTGATATGGAAGTTCAGAGCATTAATATAATTGGTGCAATATGCAGATTAAAATGTTAAATGTAAACCTAGCATAAGTTGAGTCTTAGACAGGAAGAAAAAAAGGCATTATTAAAGAATGAAATCAAGTTGTGATACTAGACAAGACTGACCAGTGTACAGAATTGAGCCGAAGTAGCCCTCAAAGAGAAACATGACTGCTCCTGGACAATGGTTGGCATCTATCAGTGTCACCGTGAGCTTCTGCTCGCCAGTTTCATCCATTGGGAGCAGGTAGGGCTCACCAAGCTCTAGAGGATGGATCCATTGATCTTCAACCTGAACAGGAAAGGAGGTTACAAATGATGGGGGAATATTGATATTTGAAATAGAAATTAAAAAGTATTAACAATATGTAGTAAAAAAATAAAAATAAAACAATCTGCAAATGTGTAAAACTACTGTGTGTAATCCTTTTTGAAAATGTGTAAAAAAAAATCCACAAACCTGTATTCAGATTTACAAATATGTACTGTGATTACCACCATATAAGGCTTTCGCTGTGATGTCACCGTTCATCTCCATAGTAACTACCCAAACAATCTTTCATATAAACTTTTTAAAGGGACATTACAGCGTTGTGGTGGAAAATATGACAATAGTGTGGGAAAACTACAATTGGTTTAGAAAATCAAATAAAAAGTTGTATGACATAAAATACTCCAATAATAGTTTGATTACTTTACTGATATTTTATTCAATTATATTTTAAAACATTAGAAAAAATGTTTTTTTACTATTCATTTTTATCATTGAAGATCAGAATTCTGGGTTTGGGACAAGCACAAAACAAAGCAATATTTACATATAAATGAGGATGAAAAAAGGTGAAAAAGTCATCACAGACTACTAAAACAAATGTCCTAAAACAGCTTCATTGTAAAGATAACTATAAAGGTGTGAAATGTGCCTTTTTTTTCATGAAATATGATCAAAGGCCAAAAAATGCGCCCATAGTTAAAGAATTACCCTTAAATAGATGGAAAATCCTGAGTGAAATAATAATTTAAGTGAATATTGTTTTCCAGAAACTCTTCTTCTTACCTCCAGTTTGAGCTTGAGCAAGTCTGCAGTGATCCGGGAGCTGTAGATGGGGCGGTGGCTCCAGGTGGATGTCAGACCCATGGTGTGGTCACTGTGCATGTGGGTCAGGAAGAAAAGTCGGATATGGGGACATCTCTTCACATACCAAAAGTCTACAGCCAGCGGGGTGTCTGGGATGACATGTCCATTATAAGGCATTGTTTCTCTATGAGTCGCCTGTGGTGAATCAACGCGCTATCTAACTGTTTATTTCAGAAATATAGAGACAGAAAAATCTACCTGTCTGCTTGGCGGTGTTTAAATAGTAACTGACTTTATTAGCTAATATTCAACGCAGAAATATTAATAGAGCAAACTCCTCACTTTCCTGCTTGTCGAAAGCATATGAAACGCTTTATAGCCTGAATACGGATAGGAGTGGTTAGTTTCGTTATCTTCAAAAAGCGCATTATATAGCGATCCATTTCCTGTTTTTTTTTTGTTTTTTTTATCTGGTACAGATTGTGTTTATGGGATAGTTAAACATGCACCTGTAAAACACCTGGTACTGTCACACTACCACCACCCTCTGGCGAGTGTAGTCTGTTTAATTTCAA